TGGGGATTCTTCTGTTCAGTGTGGAAAAGGAGAGGTACATTGCCTTTTGTCTCATGCAGGTAAGTACTCACTGTGGTGTTGCTGGCAATTTGGGATGGTTGGACCTCAGACCTCTGGGACAGTGTTCAGGTGCCTGTGCTGGTTGACTAGATTAGGTAATCCCAAGTCCCCAGTCCCCTGGCTGGCATGCTTGCGTCCTGGAGGGACCAGATGGAGACTAGGCTGGCAAACTTGCCCTCAAGCCTCCCTGAGTTGGGGCACTGGCTGTGATAGTGAGAGGTGGCATGATATCTTGCTCCATATCAATGCTCGAGCAGGAGAAGGGCATATGCTCTGTGAGCCTGTGACAGGATGGCTGGGCCCCTCTTGGCAAGATTAGCAGAGGCAGAGAGCTGTGGGATGCACATGGTACTCGCACCTCCCACTCTTAGCAATGACAGCAGTCTCTGTCCTTTGGGGTCACAAAAATATCCAGATCCCCAGCTCCCACCTTGGCCTAGCTGTAGCAGAGAAGGTAAAGACAGCTCAACCCACTGTGTGCAGGGCTACCAGACTGGCTGTGGGCTGTGATTGAAATGCTCTGGTAGGGGAGGTGTAGTTCTGCCAGGGACTTGCCTCAGGGAGAGTAGGCTTCTCCCAGAGGAGACAGGCCTCTAAGGAAAAGAACTGCTAGCCCCACCCTCCCTCCATGGAGGTGATAGTCTTTGTCTTTGGGGTGCACAAATGGGCCCAGATTCTATTCTCCCTTCCTGGTCTGGCTGCGGCAGAGGTGGCAGAGAAAGCTCCAACTTCTCTATGTATGCTGGGCTCCCAGAATGGCTGGGAGCTACCGCTGAAATGCTCCAGTCGGGGAGGGGTCCTCGTGCCAGGGACTTGCCTCCAGGGCAAGTAGGCTTCTCCCAAAAGAGATAGGCACCTAGGGGAGAGAACTGCTAGCCCTGCCCTCCCTCAGCTGAGGCTGTAGTTTTTGTCTTTGACAGCAAACAAAAATGCTTGGTGTGGCTTTTTAGAGGGAAAGGAGTAAGCCTCAAGTTCTGCGGAAACCTGGATAAGATAGACATTCTGTCAGAGGTGGGACAGCCACTCCCAGGTGCTCTGGCTTAATTGTTCCCCATAGAACCCTCACCAGTCCCGAGTGGAAAGAGCTGTGGTGGCCTCAGCAGCAGTGGGTGACAGAGGGGAGGAGGAGGAAAAGGCCCTGAACGGGCAGGAGCTGTTCCCCTGGTCCCCATCGTCATAAGGGGCCCTCTGGCATGCTGCACTTTCCTCTCAGCTGGAAGCAGCCTGCCCTGAATGCTCAAGCTCTGGGAGGCTCACGGTAACCCCAGGGCCCACCAGTTCCCCAAGGCTGCTGCTGTCCAAGTGGGTGCTGAGGAACATTGGCTGTGAACCCAGCAATATACAGACCCAGGAGCTGACATTCCCTGGTCAAGACAGCTGCAAAAATGTTGCCTGTTTGTGAAGGGAGAGAAATGAGCTGCACCCTCTGTGCAGAGCCCAGGGGCAGGGATCAGAGTACTACTGGGGGTATACCCTCCCTGCAATCCTAGAACTGCCCACCCTGCAGCATGCCCGTGCCACGAGCTCACGCTTGTGAGCAGAGGTGGCTATGTCTGCAGCATTGGGTTGTTGGAGGAGAGAAAGTCTCTATCTCCACGTTGTCCTTTTCTAGGCTCCCGTGCTGTTTCTGCTCTGGGGTGGGGACACTGTCCTAGCCTACAGACTCCTCTCTGCACCTGCATCTCCACCGGCAGGGGTGCAGACAACGTAAGCCAGGGCCCCTTAGGTGCAGAAGAGTGCACGTTACACCTTCCTCTGTCCTAAAAAGCCTTCAGCACTTTCCAGTCTCCTTGCAGCAGTCCACCCTCCAGGAATACTGCTGCTCTCCTGTGTCTCTCTGTTTCTTTCTGATTGTCACAGTCCAAGGGACTGCTGGGGAATGTTCGTGTGGGATCCAGTGACAGGGAGACTAAGGGCCTTTGACTTCATTGGCAGGATAGAGGCACCCAGCGTGTGCGTAGGCAATGTCATGCCTGCCATTTCAGCTGGGGTCCGTGGTGGGGGGCAGTGACCCCATGTGGGCCTGCAGCCTGGTGCTCTGCTCTCAAGATGCTATCAGTTTGCTGGTGGTGGCAGCAGTCCCTGGATTTGTGAAGGTGGAAGGGCTCTCTGACAGATCAGGAGCTGGCAGACTGCCACCTCCTGGTTGGAGGGGAGGAAAAGTAGACACTCCCACTTACCCTTTCCAATAGACTCCAAATGCCTTGGGGGTCAGCCTCTGCCAAAACTTGCTCCGTCTTGTTCTTTTCCACAACTCCTTCCCATGGGATCTCCAGTAAGGATAAGTTCTGGCAGCTTTCCCTCAGCATTTCACTTGGGCTGTGCTTTTTTCACCTGAAACTTTTTCTTCTTTTTGGGATCATCTGGCAATCAAATCCCCTCCCCAAATCTTAGTTTAAATTCCAGAAGTTGAATGTGAATGCTTTGTCTTGCACTCCTGAGTAGCAGCCCTGCACTCTGATTGTATTATTTTCATAAGAAAGAGTGATTCCTGAGATGCAATATAAATAGCTTAAATGTTGAAACTCAGAGGAGTTTCATGAAAACAGCAATATATTTTTAATCATTGTTTGACTTCGTTTGAAGGTGGATTTCTTCCTTTAAAAATAGTTCTGACTTAATTTGTCTGGTTTCTTGGCACCTGCCCTCACTTTTTATCCCCTTTGTGTTGGACTCTGTCTCTACTACTCTGTTGCCTCTGAGATTATGAATCACTTAATTTAACAGTTGCCCAGCTGGATTCCTCAATACTGTCTGGCAATTTTTTTCACTCCTTGGAATTCTCTCTTTTTGAATTTCTTACCATGGCACATGCTTCATGCATCTTGTACTTGTTTGATTGTCATTTATCTCTTTGATAAGATCCTTTTCCTTCAAACTCAAATAAAAAACAACACAAAATAAAGCAAAAGCAAACAACAATAAATAACAACAAAAATAGCACAAAACCTGAACTAGAATTGTATGGCTGAAAACAGAGATGTTTTCTTTCAGAAATCCCATCACCAGAACTTCTGAGCATTTTCTCTATATTTCCTGGCATTTTCCTTCTTTGCACTTTTTTTTCTCTCCTTCAGCTCTCTCTCTCCTTTTTAAGCTAGCAGTTATACTGATGTAAGTAAATGTTTATTTACTCCCATTTTTTTTTTTTTAGGAAACAGGCTTAGAGAGTTAAGTGAAATGCCAGTGTGATACGGATAGCCAGTTACAGGGCTGGGGTTGGAATTCAAGCCTCAGTTACTGCAAAGGAAAAATGCGTAATTTGTGTGTGTGTGTTGATCCATTCTTGCATTTTTTTATTTACAAAAGATTATAAAGCTCTAAGAGAGTTAGGGAGAATGTATCCCCAAACAGGTGAAGTTACGAATCACAGAGCAAACAGTATGTGTGCAGATCAAACATGTTGAATCTGCAGTAATGTTTTAGAGATTTGTCTCTCCTAAAAACATTAAAGATGCTACTCAGATAACATTTAGGGATAACATAAAATACTTTTTAAAAAAATATATGCACAACACTAATGCTATTCATAAGGAAGTCTGAACACTCAAATTATTACTAGTTCCCTCTCCCGTTAGCAACATAATCCCAAAGCATAAGAGCTCATAAGTTCCCAATATCTGTTTATAGATTTGGCTTATGTATCTTCTGTTCTTCTAGCTAATTATTGTAGATCATCACTGCAAGGTTACCATAGCTTCATAATTTGAAAATTATTCTGGCCCTTACTATATACAAATTAGGCAACCAGCATTCTACAAATATAAGGTACTAATATTGCATTGAAAGTAGCTTGGAATAGAAAGAGACTTGGCGTTTAAGTTTCTAAATATATTGTGGAATTGCCTCTTTCTGAATAAGACTTACACTAGACATTTTCTGACTCCCGTGCCCTAATGCTATGCCATTTGCAAATGGATCCCCCATAATCTGCTCCCAAGAAGTTTCTATTTTAATTTATCTGTCACCAAGATGATTTCCAGGGCATTAGCTATGAGGAAGGGAGGAGAATGGGTCTTTATAATTATAAAAAGACAGTTTTCACAGTCTGTTAGAAAAGAGATGGAGAATCCAGATCTTTTCATTGTAAGATTTCAGTGAATGAAGAAATCATGTAGATGGTAAATTTTTAACTTCTTTAGTAAATAATCACCTCTAACATAGAAGAAAACTGTTCTTTATAATAAGGCAAGGCAGAAAAGCAAACATTTGCTTCTGTCTCATATAGCATAAAAATGTTTTACCAGAGACTCCTCAGGTTACAGGAATTCATGCTCAAAAGTTAGGAAAAAAAGTAGTTAAGCATTATTAAAGGAAGTTGTTTTACTCATTTAGTCAATCATAAAATGATCATGCTTTCAAGGTTTAGTTTAATAGAGCACTTTAATAATGATGGAAAAAATTCTTTACGAGATATATTTCTAAGAAGTGAACAGCTATGATTTGTTACATAATGCTGCATAATGACCTGGCAATATTCAATGTAATGCAGTTTAACTGGACAGAGACCTAACTAAGAAAGAAACCAAGTTGATGTGGGATAAAAGCAAAAAGTGTACTATAACAAATAATAGTAACAAAGAATTAATCTAGGGATTCAGGGAGGTAAAAACTAAGAAATATAAGTCAACCAAAAATCAATGAAGTAAGAGTAAGATTCAAACTAGCAGTAGTTTGGACTCTGGAAATGGGTTTTCCTATGCCCACCAAATATTTAAGAACCAGAAGCATAGCCTATGGTAGATTTATAAAAAGTCTAGGACCTATTTTACTGTGGACTTCTTTGGTATTTCCTTTTATTTAAAAAAAAATTTTTTTTTTTCAGAAACTTAGGGCATGCTTAGTACATGGGCATGCTTAGGGCATGCTTTACACAGCAAAATAACTTTTCTCTGCTTAAACACTAGAAATTCTAGCCCATCTCATCTTTTCCTTTGCAGGTCAAGTAATATCTGGGACATGGCTCCAGAGATCCACATGCCAGACCCTGTGTGTCTCATTGAGAACACTACGGAGAAACTGAGGGTTAATCCAGAAGCTTTGGAGATCCTGTCCGCTATTACACAACCTATGGTGGTGGTGTCTATTGTGGGCCTCTACCGCACAGGCAAATCCTATTTGATGAACAAACTGGCTGGGAAGAACAAGGGTGAGTGGCACCAGCAAAGCTCTGCAAAGTCCCTTCTGTCCACTCACATGGCCAGCATCCAGGGTGGCAATGTGAGGAGAGAAAGTTGGAGATGAGGATGGATATTGAAAACCAATGTTTAGGCCACAGCTGGTCTTTTTATCTTCTGGGACATGAAGAGCAGCTAATTGTTCCTGATATATCACCTTTTTTTTGCCTTAAAATTTCCTTGGAAAAAACATAATATGTTTCTCTCACAAAGGGTAAGACATCAATGAAATAATTTCTATATATATGTAATTGTAAATTAGCAAAATATTAGTAGCACAATATTATTTTAAAAAATCAAATTTCCAACCTGTATTTGATATTATTTCCCCATTCCTCTATTGTCATTCAGATCAATACTGGTTGTACTCTCTGCTGTTTCCAGAGAAACAGCTTGCTTTCTTTAAACCCTAGCTCAATGACCAAGAAAATCCCCGATCCCAGAGTCCCTTCTCTTTTACAACCTCTCCACTCCCCCGGCAGGCTTCTCCGTGGGCTCCACGGTACAGTCTCACACCAAGGGAATCTGGATGTGGTGTGTGCCTCACCCCAAGAAGCCAGACCACACTCTAGTTCTGCTGGACACTGAGGGCCTGGGAGATGTAGAGAAGGTAAGGAAGGATTCCTTTTTTAACCTCCTCATTTCTGGACACTGTTTATACAGGGAGTTTTTAGGTTTATTTTTCTAAATTTGTACTTCCACTTAACCAAAGTATACCTCCATTCTTTCTTCTTTCTATCTTTAATAGTCTGAGTTTAGAAGCCTGAAGTGAGAAAATACGTCTATAAACCAGAATTAGTACTGGGAGAACTGCGCTGATATTGAGCTAGGCAGTTAGCCCAAATGCATAAAGATGGTCAAATAAAATCACTGTTACCTGGTCCCGCAGATTGTACTGGTTAATAGTGGACTCTGGGCTCAGATGAACTTGTGTTAAAATCAGGGCTATGACAATTGTAGCCTCTGACTTTGACAAGAGAAGTGAGTCTCCCTAAATCTTTTATTTTCCCTTTGGTCTTATTCAACTCATTATTTGAACAGTAGATACATGGACGGACCTTTTCTAATTTTATGTTTGTAAGTATTTAACAACCAGCTCCCTGGATAAAAAGAAACAGCAACATTGATTTGTAGCACTTGACTATTTCCTGAATGCTCCCATCATAACTGATTTCGGGCTACCAGAGTGGAGACACTAGCCTCAGACTTTGAAGGGAGGTACACAATCTGCTATCACGGGCTGGTGTGAGCTGGCTCCAGCGTACAACTGCGTCTTTCTCTTGAACTTCCATTGTTTTATATGAGTTTTTTTGCTTGTTTAGTTTTGATTTGCCAAGATTCAAAGATGATAAGCCATAATTTGAGCTTTAGCTTCCTAATTTACAAAATGGAGATAGTAACTATAAACCATGTCACAATGATTTTTTTAAATTAGATAAGATCAGTCATGTGAACTGCATTGTGGATGATAATTATTTAATAACATAGATATATTTATGGTAAATATAAGACAATTTTGTTTTGTGCTCTGGAAAACCTTGGTTTTGTGTACTTGGATTACCCCCACTGACTTTGACTATACACTTTGCAAATATCTAACAGTAGTTATAAAAGGGACTGGTGAATTAACAATACATGGATTAGTATAAAATTATTATATCAGCGTTAACAAAAGAACTACTCAGAGTTCACGGTTTTGACAATTGGTTTTTTTTGTTTGTTTTTTTGTCTTCTTTAATGTTAGTAGATCAGGAGCCTATTTTTAAAGATTGCTCATCTGGGAATCCCGAGAGACAGGACTTAAATTTGTTTTGACTTCTAGGTTGAGAAGAATGATACCCAGATCTTTGCACTGGCAATCCTCCTGAGCAGCACCCTCGTGTACAATACCATGAACAAAATTGACCAGGGGGCTATAGACCTACTGCAGTATCCTTTTGTGGTCTAGGATGGCACCAAAATCAGAGAGAACTCCTCCATTCACCAGCTGTATGTCTGTGAGTCCTTGTGAATCACAAAAACGAAAACATGACAAACATTGAAAGTACAAAGAAAGTAACGCTTATAAACTCTGATAAAATTGTGATTTGGTTAAGACCCAAAGGAAAATAAAGGTTTGGGGAGACATGAAATTAAATATGGGCTTGGAGGCAGTGCTATCTCTGCCAGTTTTGCTTAATTGTATCTCAGCCATGTAACAGAACTGACAGATCTGCTCAGGGCAAGAAACTCACCTGACCTTGATGGGGCTGAAGATGCTGCTGACTCTGGGAGCTTCTTTCCAGACTTGGTGTGGACTCTGAGAGATTTTTACCTAGACCTGGAAACAAATGGGAAACTTATCACAGCAGATGAATACCTGGAGAATTCACTGAGGCCAAAGGAAGGTAACAGGGACTTCAGATTTGCAAAGATGGAGAAAAGTAACCTAAGAAATGATCTCTTTTGTGTATGTGGTTAAGTTTATAATTTTCCATATTTACTTACCTAGATCTCCTACAAAATAAATAATAAATATTATTAATTTATAATGAACAAATAAATTCAATATTGAATTGCATTACTCCTCTGTTCTTAGAACAAATTTCTTTTTTTATCTGATTAGTTATCTTTTATCTTTTTGCTTAGAGTTTATGAAGATATATTAAACTATGTAACATCAGGAAGAAGGACATTTATCTTAGGTAAGTGGATGAAAATTCTATACTGAATAAATTCTATTTTTCCTTCTCTAGGTAATAATCAAGGAATTCAGAACTTCAATTTGCCCCGTCTATGTATACAGAAGTTCTTTCCAATAAAGAAATGCTTTATCTTTGACTCACCCACTCAACGAAAGAAGCTCACCCAGCTTGAGACACTGCATGATGATGAGCTAGATTCTGAATTTGTGCAGCAAGTGGCAGAATTCTGTTCCTACATCTTCAGTCATTCTACGATTAAGACTCTTCCAGGAGGCATTAAGGTCACTGGATCTTGTGAGTACCATTTTTAGGATTTTCTTTCAATTCAATGTAAAGAATAAGGGACATCTATAAGAATATACTTGCAGTGTCACCGTTGACAAATGCATAGACAATTCCTACCATGAAAATTACATTTATCTTATTTATTAAGTTCCAGTGGGTATCAAACTTATTTCTAGTGTTTTTTTATTAATGCCTCAAAACTACATAAAATAGGAACACAACCTAAAGATAAGATAAAGTTAAAGAAGTTTTACCCATACGTGACTCACTGTTGAACTAGACTAACCCATGTGCTGGCAGCATTTGTTCAACAAATATATTGGATCCTTATTATGTGTCACAGCCTTTGATTGACAGAAGAGGAGCAAGACATACATGTTCCTTATAGAAATGGAACTTGATTGAAACAAACATTATACAAAGGCCCAATTGTCTAGAATTTCTTTTAGAACCCTAAAAGAAATCTAAGTAGACTCCTTGGTCTGGTTTTTTCTAAGAACTCTATGTCTCAGAACTCTGTAAATAATTGCTACATTACAGAGAGAAGTTGAGTGCAAAAAAAAGTGTGCAAACAAAGGAAGTAAAACTGGAAAGTTCCAACAAAGAGTAAGGGAAACCTGGTCTGAATTACTCATTTTGCACTTTTTCAGAAGAGGATAGCTCTCATATTAGCTTAACCATACTAAAGTGAAAGAGAAAAGGGAATTCCAAAGAGAATGGAAAACCGAGGATGAAGGAAAAAGGGGGGAAGATTAAAAAGGCAAAGGCCCATAGCATTCTAAATAAATATGCATGACTTTTATATATAATCATCTCCTCATTTCTCTGTGGGAGAAGGATGAAATGTGTACAATCATTTACATCTCGAGATTTTCTCTATTTTCTTCTTGGAACACAGTTACTTTTCCCAAAGAAGGAAAATCCTGGCTTCTCGATCATATGATTTGTCAAATGAACTTATGTGGGCCACTTGAACACCATCCAGAATACTGAAAATTTCAGGCAATTCATGTTAAATGTACATTCTCAGAATTATTAATGTAAATCATGCCTTCTTTCTATGCAAATAATATAAGCATTTCTTTTTTCTGTGAAGGTCTAAAGAACCTGGTGATGATCTACATCAATGCCATCAGCAGTGGGGATCTTCCCAGCATGGAGAACACAGTCCTGTCCTTGGCCCAGATAGAGAACTCAGCCGCAGTGCAAACGGCCATTGCCCACTATGACCAGCAGATGGGCCAGAAGGTGCAGCTGCCCACAGAGACTCTCCAGGAGCTGCTGGACCTGCACAGAGCCAGTGAGAGAGAGGCCATTGAAATCTTCATGAAAAGCTCTTTCAAGGATGTGGACCAAAGGTTCCAGAAGGAATTAGAGGTAATGACTTTTTTTTTTTTTATTTCAGCATGTTATGGGGGTACAGATGATTAGGTTACATATGATGCCCTTACCCTCCCTCCCCTCAAGTCCGAGCTTCAAGTGTGTCCATTCCCCCGGAGGTGCTCATTGCACTCATTGTTTGTGCATATGCCCATCCCCTCCTCCCCCCTCCCCCCTCCCCCTGATCCAATACATGTTATTCTTATATGTGCACTTAAATGTTGATCACCTAATACCAGTTTGATGGTGAGTACATGTGGTGCTTGTTTTTCCATTCTTGGGATACCTCTCTTAGTAGAATGTGTTCCAGCTCTATCCAGGAGTATACAAGAGGTGCTATATCACCATTGTTTCTTAAAGCTGAATAGTACTCCATGCTATACATATACCACAGTTTATTAATCTACTCATGTATTGATGGACATTTGGGTTGTTTCCACATCTTTGCAATTGTGAATTGTGCTGCTATGAACATTTGAGTGCAGGTGTCTTTTTTATAGAGCCACTTTTGCTCTTTTGGGTAGATGCCCAGTAATGGGATTGCTGGGTCAAATGGCAGTTCTACTTGTATCTCTTTAAGGTATCTCCATATTGCTTTCCACAGAGGTTGCACTAGTTTGCAGTCCCACCAGCAGTGTATGAGTGTTCCTACCTCTCCGCATCCACGCCAACATTTATTGTTTTGGGTCTTTTTGATAAAGGCCAGTCTCACTGGAGATTTTTTCTAGTTCGTGGGGATTAGGGTCAATAAAAGACAAAGTATTGCTATGAACAGTAAAATAGTACTTAATTAAGAAAAGCAGTTGCTACTAGACTGGAAAATAATAAGAATCACTTATAAGGCCATGATATCACTTTTATTCTAAAAACAAACAAACATGTAACTACTCTGGGCCTTATAGATTCTGAAGTTTTCACACGTGTATACAACCTATCTTTACCATGTTATACCCATGGGCTACATTTGAATTAATTTTATTGTTTTAAATAATTGTATTTACAAAGTATTAATTAACTTTCCCATTTTATTAGTCAAGCATACAGAATTACCAATTGGCTCCACTAAAATACAATGTATCCAGGTTTAATAAAATAGGCTGATCTCATTCCAACCAATTATTCTATTCCACCTTCTCATTGGAAATCCAAGGCCTAGTAAAACACTGAAATCAGGAATGTTGTAAAACAGTAGGCTGCATTTAAAATTAACATAAGGCCAGAGGTCTGCGATCTGAATATCACACCTAAAGCAGAAATAACAAGAAAGGGGTGTTTCAGGAGATTTCAAACCCAAAAGTAAATGTCATTTTTATATAGAGTGTCATCCTTGGAACTTTTCCAGATTCGGTGGGAAGGGTATAGTCTTGCTTGCATTCCTCTACATTTCAAGGAAAAAATATAGATTCCTTTTGAGAATCATTTCGAGAAATACTGAAGTATCGTTAACATCTTTGCCATGGGTTGTTGTCTCTTTGAAGACCCTACTAGATGCAAAGCATAAGGACATCTGCAAACAGAACTTAGAAGCATCATGGGATCGTTGTTGGGCTTTACTTCAGGATGTTTTTGGTCCTCTAGAAGAAGCGGTGAAGCAGGGGATTTATTCTAAGCCAGGAGGACATACTCTCTTCATTCAGAAGACAGAAGAGCTGAAGGCAAAGTACTATAAAGAGCCTAGAAGAGGAATACAGGTATCCCTAGTTTTATCTATTAATTGTGGAAAATTTCTGGGAGGCCTCTTTAAAACCAGTGAGGACAGGAAGAAAGACATGTATACAGGCACACAGATGAGGTTTATGTCTCTGTCTAGTAGTAGTTACTCCTTCGTTGAATAAGTATTCATGGAAAAACTATGTGCCTGGTATTGGTTTTCCTAGCACAGAATTTACACTTTAATATTAGCTATGGAATTAAATTGAATCCTCACCATAACCACCAGAGTTCTATTGCAACCATCAGCATTCATTGCAACAAAGGCATCTTTTTGGTCACACAGGACAGAATCTCAATAATTAAAACTAACTAAAGAAAAATTGGTAATCCATTGGTTTACACAAACTAAAAGCAAAAGGTTTTAATTTAGTTTCAAGGATAGATACATTCAAGAGTTTAAATAATGCCATCAATTGTCCTCCTTCCTTCTTTCTTTCCAATTTCCAATTCATTTTTCTCTTTCTTTTTCCTACTGGCTTCATTTCCAGACAGTCTAACCCTATATGACAATGAAGATGACACCAACAGGACCAAGCTTAGCTAGTCCTTAGTGCCCTTGTCTCAGGGGAAAGAAAGCATCTTTCCTCCAGCATATATCAGTCTTTGAAACACCCAAGGATCATCAATTTTCCTCCTTGCAGTATTTTTCCACCTATGAGCAAGTCCTTTGCATCTAGTGGCCTTGGGCACTCTGACTGGCCAGGCTAGAGGCAAGCCCAAACTTGTGTTAATCAGGGACAGCCTTGATTAACAGTTCTACCAAGTGCAGCCTGAGCACCTCCTATGGGAATAAGATACTGGAAGGAAAAAGAAATAAAGATGTTTACAACATTCCTAATTACCATTTCTTACTTCTAACTGTATGTTTTTGGGTTGCTAGGCTGAGGAAGCTCTGCAGAAATATTTAAAATCCAAGGAGTCTGTGAGTAATGCAATTCTACAGACAGACCAGGCTCTCACAGCAAAGGCAAAGCAGATGGAAGGTGAGAAGAAAACAGAAGTGATGCAAGAAAGAAAAGGAATTTCTATATATTTGAAATTACTTTGGCCTGGCCTCATGGGATCATTAAACTAAAGCAGGAATGGCAAACACTTCTTAGCTCTTCAGGCTGTGTCCCAGTGTGGCATGATCAGCTGCTGCATTATGGCTATCTGGGAGGGAAAAACAACCCCAGGGAATATTCTCTATGACGTTGGAGCACTAACAAATAAGAGTGGGAGGCAGAAGGAAGGGGCACATTAATCCTGAAGAGATTTGCCTTTTTACTCTTTCTTCTCAGAGGCACGTGTGAAAGCAGAGGCTGCAAAGGCTGAAGCACAAAGGTTGCAGGAGCTTCAAAGGCAGAACCAGCAGAGGATGGAGCAGAGGGAGAGACTCCATCAGGAACAAGTGAGACAAATGCAGCTAGCCAAAGAAAAACGGCAGGCAGAGCTACAGAGGACGCAGGAACTTCGGATGCAGGTATTGATCAATTGTTGCATCTCTCCCCTCTCTGTAACGATGGGAGCGTGGAGCAGAGACCCAGGGGCAGGGCTGGGGAAGGCAGCATAATACTGTGGCGCAGGGCAGGGACTCTGGCGCCAGACTGCCAGGGTGTAAATCCAAGCTCCACCTCTTAATATATATGGTTTAGGCAAGTTGTCTATCCTCTCTGTGCCTCATTTTCCTCTTGTGTAAAAGAGGCAGTAATAATACCTATTCTATAGGGTTACTCTGATAATTAAATGAGTTAATATTTGTGCTTAGAATGGTGCTTGGCACAGAGTAAGCACTCTAAATTGTTAATTAAAAATGAAGGCATTTCTAGTCTGTAGTAATTATCTTTCCTCTTAACTCATTAATTGCTCTGGAAAATCTTTTGCTTTGGTCATAGATACCTTGTTAAATTAATTTCATATTATTGTGTCTATGCCCCTGTCCTTGCCTTGATCATCTGTGGTTCTGAATGCTTTTAACTTGCGGAATTTGTTTCATCCAGTCCTTTAGTTTTATTTTCATTCAATATCCATTTGTACTCACCATCAAATTGGTACTCACTGATCAACACTAGGTTGATCACATGGCAGAAATACTCTCTAGGGATTAGGGGGATGAGGGGGCAAATCTACAACTAAAGGACACGGGGAGCACTAAAGGGAGGGAAGGGCATGCCTTTAACCCGCATTTGGGTGAGGCAAAGACATAAAGTGTAACTACAATGTTTGTATCCTCACAAAACCCTGGAATAATGAAAATAAATAAATAAATAAACAGTAGTTGTTATTTACAGGGCACTGTCAAAGCACTTTACATGAATTATTCACTGTAAAGCAGAACTATTGTGTCCTCATTTTTCAGAGTTAGTTCCAAAGAGAACTAAATGCCAATATCACACAGCCTAGCAAGTTATCAAAACTGTCCGTCTTAGTGAGTGGTTTCTGCAGTGCTTTTGCTTCTTCAGGTCTGGTGTGAAATTCCTGTGTCAGCACCCTAATGAGACAAATGACATCCTAATTCTTCCCCCTAGTTGTCAGTCTACCTGTAGGTACTAGTTTGTTAAGAGCTATTCCAAGAAATTTCTGAGATTGCCACTGTTTCCTGAAGAGCAGTACGAGCAACCTGTGGTTTTTGATCTCCTCAATCTTTTCTTCTACTTCTGCCACCAAAACTGTGGTGACCTGGAATAAATTCTCTCATCTAAGGTGCAAACATCTCATCTGATTTTGATGTCACCTAGACACCCTGTTTTTGTGTTAGCCTCCTTTCTTAAAAATATATCTAACATTATCCTGTGTGTGAATGAGAATTGAAGTCAAGATGTGACTACGATTGTCCAAAGAAATTGTGTAGTGTAAGGGGGGAGGGAGCCTTGGGATGGAATTCTAGGGACAACAACATTTCAGGGGTTGAGAGATGACAATGTTTCTGGAGCTAGATAAAGAGAAGGAGAGTGAATAATTACAGAAGTAAGTTGGACACACATGAATGGAAAAGAGATATTCAGGGACTGTCTATTGCTACTGCGGAGTAAAATAAGTAAGGACAAATGAATGACTTATGCAACTAGAAAAAAGTTTGATCTTACTTTTTGCTAAACTTTAAAAGTTTGTATTTATCACTATTTAGAAGGAGGCTGAAGACCTCAAAGCGGCACTGGAAGCTGAAACCAGACGCCTCCGTAATCAGATACAGCATCTCCAGGCGACTGCTAACTCATCACATGATCCCTGTATCTTACTCTGAAGTTTAAACACTGGAGCTTCCCCTTCTTACTCTTTTTCATGGAAGACACAAAGGAACAAGAAATTATAGACCTTGGAGTAATCAACATTTAAATAAACGTTATAATTATTACATCAAACTTTTGTATAGAGTTAAAAAGTTATGATGCTGGTATCTGGTAAAATGTACATCTCAACAGTCCAATAGTTTAAATGATGATTGCTTCCTTGAAGAGATTATGAATTGTATAATAAGGGACATTTTATCACTCCCTTTATTTGGGGTTTATATTGGGATGGTTCTACCCAATGCCACCTGTCCAAATTTCTATATTTGTCTCAGGGTCTTATAAACTATCTAGGGGGTGTCATTCACATGGGCTCAGTCACATGGAACTTGGCCAAGGTCTTGGGCTAAGCTGGGCATCACTCCTGCTGATGGTCATGTGCCGGATGCTATCAGAAGAAAGTACAGACAGTAAAGTGGAAACAATGTACAGTTCTCAACGAGGTGGAAGCTACTATTCTACGAGCAGTGGCTTGATTCCTCAGCACTGTCAATAGACCACCTACATAGAGCAATTCCAAGCTGAAAGCCAATAATGTTGTAGTAAAATAGAGATCCGTCAGAAGATGAAAGGAATGTGGTGATAGATATGTTAGCTTAATTTAATCTTTCCACTTTGTATTCAAAAATCATAACACCACTTTGTACCCCATAAATATATACAATTATAATTTGTCAATATATAATAAAAATTTTAAAAGAAAAAAGAAATCTGAGAAGCTGAATATAGAGACAAGTTGACTAAATGAAATGGACTGAAACAACTAAAAGGGTTGAAGGCTCCTTGGTTTCACGGGTCTTTGAGGAGATAGGCAATGTGTTAATTGCAGAAATGCCATTTCTTGGTAAGCTAGGAATGAAAATTATGAGTTCACAAATGAAATAGGCTCAGAATTCCTCATAGAAAATTATAAAATGAGGCTACTTTTGTTATACCATGGCCCATTTTTGGAGTATATATGTCATGTTGGTATCATTTGTCAAAAAATTAAAAATAAAAAGGTATTACCTAAATATGTAAGGGCTTGCCACACAAAAAGCACTTAATTTTGATCAAATTCGTTTTTATTTTTTTAAATGGAAAACAAGAAAGATCTAATGGAAGAAAACACCAAATTTCTAATTACATCAAAACCAATGAAATCTTATGGAATAAAATAATTAAGACGTATGTGAAATTCAAAAGAAAACACTTTTAAATGTTACTGAAATACACAAAACTTATAAAAATGGTCAGAAATAAAATCGTCAATACTCTAAAGTCAACATACATATTTAATATATATCAAAACTTATTTGGGGGAAGTAAATTTATTTTAAAATTTATATGAAAAAGGCACAAGCAAAAAAAACCCAATGCAATTCCAAAAATTAATAAAAATAATGAAAGGGGGAGGACTAGCTTAAAACATACATTAAAACATCCTTGTAATTAGCAAAGTAGATAGGGATATGGATATTCAAGCAGTAATAAAACAACCTTTAAAATTTAAAAATCAGTTCAAAGTCAAACATACATTCAGTATATAATAAATGTGATATTTCATACTAGTGAAAGGACATGAAATATTTAGGTAATTGTATTTGGACTATAGGTGGTGATCTGGGGGGAAAAAAAGGTTCCCTTATAACTTATACCAATATAAATTTCAGGCTGGGTGTGGTGGCTCACGCCTATAATCCTAGCACTCTGGGAGGCTTAGGTAGGAGGATCACTTGAGGTCAGGATTTTGAGACCAGCCTGAGCAAGAGCGAGACCAATCTCTACTAAAAATAGAAAAAATTACCCGGGTGTCCTACTGAGCATTTGTAGTCCCAGCTACTCAGGAGGCTGAGGCAGGAGGATCACTTGAGCCTGGGAGTTTGGGGTTCCTGTGAGCTAGGCTGATGCCATGGTACTCTAGCCCAGGCAACAGAGCGAGACTGTCTCTAAATAAATACATACATAAAATAAAATTTTTAAAATAAAAAATTCAGATCAATCAAGATAGAAGCATGAATATATAACCATAATTTATACAATATCGGAGAGTTTAAAAAAACCATATTGGAACAGGGAGGAATTTTCTAAGTATATCATAATGGGAATACACAAAGGAAAACAATTATAAATTCAGCTACATAATAAAAGACATTCTTCACAGGAAAACATAGGCAAAGGAAAAAGGCAAATGACAAGAAGATGCATACATTTTAATTTATATCACAAAAAGAATGTAATTTCTTAAGCCATAAGGATACATTTTAAATAAGTGAGAGAAAAATAGTCTCATTTAAAAATGGACAGATATATAGGAAGAAAATAAAGATGTTCAACTGCATTGATAATATTGAATGTGCAAATTGAAACTGCGAGGCATCTGTTTCACCTCTAAGATCTGCCAGGAAAAACACATTTGATGGTACATGGGATTGACAAGAGTTTGGTGAAACCAGAAATTTCTCACATTTGCTAGCGAGAGCACAAATTGTTACAATTATGCACCAAAATGTTAAATGTACGCACTTTTGATCCAGTAAATCCACATTTAGGAATTTGTCTTTTAGACTTATTTGCCTATGTGAAAAATGACATAGGCAATAGGATATTTGTTGCAGCATTGTTGCATAACAAAAATTTGGAAACAACATTAGAGTCTCTATGTTGCAACTGGTAATAAGAATTGCAAATTCTGACACCTAGAAAATATTCAAAAAATGTTTGTTGAACTGAATGGATTCTCCTTCTCAAAATGAAAATTGCTTCATTTGATATGTTTATGTTTGTCTATAATTATAAAAATATAATCATTGAGAAATTAACATAATAAGGGAAGATATATTTTTAAATCACCACACCTTGAAGTATTGATTTTTTTTTTTTTTTGGTGGTAGTGGGATAAATACTTCTTGGTTTATATCTAGGTAAACATATCCTATTGATATATACATTTTTCTCATAAATGTAGTCATTACACATACATAGCATACAAATGCTAGATTAATTTTCTTATTAACTAATGTTTTCATGATTATCTTAAGTCGTAGCATTAAATTATCTGGAAAGGGGTAGTGTTGGTGGAGTTAATTGTCTCATGCAAAATATTTAACAAGATTCAACTGTCACTAGAGTTATTTCGGGGGTGAAGGGGAAGGGATGGGTTTTCTAAAAACATAGACCTTATTTGGTCAGAATAAGTGGTTGATGTCTTAGCATTGGTCCTATTTCAAAGTAGATTTACCCTTACTTTCATTTTCTTTACAACTCGCAGGAAATACAGTTTTAATTTTTGTCTTTAAATTGACACCAGAACTTTTATCTCCATGAGGAAAAGCATCAAACAATTTTGGAATTTGTAATTTGCAAATGTTTAATCGGTCAAATTGAAAAAAATTAGAAAGGGCAAAAAGATGGATTTCAGAGAGTCATTTGTCATCTGTTTCATACTGAAGTTTCCCCAAATTCTGTTGATAAAGTGATTGGTCATTTTAGGATCTGAGCTGGTTTCCTTATATCTTACGTAAGACTCCAAATTCTGGATTATGCTTTGAATGATAAAGCGATCCTGATGTCCTCCAAAAAAGTCCTGTTTCAATGTGATGGTTACGTTTTAAAAGAGATGAGAGGCCCATGTTGTTTATCTAAAGATAAGTAATGGCAGCCACAGTATGATTCCTATACTCAAGCATGCACAAGAAAGGATCAACATGAGAGGCGTTACTGCACGAATGATCACCAGTCTTCATTCAAAGGTATAAAATCCACTCCCTGCTGCCAGACATTTTCTAGATATCCTTTTGGTTGGTATATACTCAGCATTTTCTCCTTGTCAACAGATAGCGCTGCATCTCCCTGTGCCTGGAGAAGTTGCTACATTCTCATTTAACTTATCACATATGAACATTCCCCACAATGTTTCAGAAAATTTCCAGGGCAAAGAAAACAGCATTGAGTGTCTAGTTACCTAGCAAGGTTGTGATAGTGGAAGAACCCAGACCTGTATTTGGAGAAAAGGCAGGAAGTTTTCTTAATCAGTTTTTACTGCAATAATACTCCACAAAATAATCTCCAATATGTGAGTAGTTTATAAAAACAAATATTTAATTCTTGCTCATGAACTCAAATTGGCCACAAAAGTTATGCTCTAGACTATGGGTTAAATTCAAATCTATTTTGAGTGTACGTTTCAACTGTAATTGATTTGATGGAGCAATTCTTACCTGGGGTTTACTGTCTTCATTGTAGAGGGTAAATGGAAATGGTGGGAACCTATAACGTCTTTTGAAAACTTTGCTCTGGAATGACACACTGTCTTTTCAAACCACATCCCATTTGCAAAGCAAGACACATGGTCTATCTCATAAATGTGGTGGGAAAATAAAATAATTCCATGACAGTAAAGAAGGAAGAGTGAATGTATGTTAATTAAGCAAATCTACCACATGGAGGATTGAACCTAGCACCACAAGGAGAATGGCATACCAACACACTTGATGATAACCCATTACATGTTGTAGCTGGTCAGGAATGTTATTAACTGGTTAGTATGTGGTAGCCTTGTTTATATCACATGAATTGTAATAATATCTCTAAACTAGAGCCAAATATATAACTATTATCTCTTTAGGATCAAGATGAAAACCAAAGGGGCTCAAGGTAAACTTACGCTGGCTTTGTGATAATACCTACTAGCTACAGTTAAGTTCAGAAAATAAAAGAACCATTGGGAACATGTTCAGTTCACCATTGGATGTACCAGTAATGTATTGATTTTAAGGATATTTAGCAGTGGGTGTATCACACTAATTATTTCAGTAAGGGACACTGAGAACTGACCTGAGAGTAGGTTCCTGCCATTTAAAAAAGTGCAACCCCTTGGCTAGCCTAAAACTTTGGTGGCAAAGCCTTACGCAGATGAAAAACCCTTCCCTATTGCCCTAGAAAATTACCCTCATCAATAGGTAACATACTAAAAAGTTATTTTCTTGTATTGAAAATTGAAACTATTTCTAGGAATCCCTGCTCTCAGCATGAAAGAGACGTTTTAAACCATGCTTAGGTCAGCTTCAGTGAAAATAGCAGTCTAAGGAAAACAAGGCATTTGTACAAGTCCAAGCTGAAAGTATCAACGCAGACTAAGTCCTAACTCCAAGGGCTGTGACAGAATGCCTAAGTGCCTGTAATGGAGAGAATTTTATATTGAACAGAAACTCCATGTCACAAAAAGAGAAATGCAACTCTTTCTTTGAAATTTCGATGAAGTTAGTTTGTGAATCCCCACTGCTTGTGATCATAGAGAACTTCTTTCCAATATGTGTTAAATTCGATTTATTTTGGTTTAAATTCATTTTGTATTGGGCAAAAGATTGGGAAGAAAAAAAATCCTCCAGGCTCTTCCCCAAGAATTAAAAAGAAGCTCACTTTGGGAGGGAGACATGGATGTCATGTCACGGAATGTCAGAAAAAACTAGCCAGGACTTGCTAGCTCTATTGCCAGATTTACAGATTTTCCTTCAAGAATTGGCTGCACTAAAAAAATAGAGCTTTCTCAGAATTCTTATCATTGTAATAGACAAGGGCACAGGCTGATGGAATGGAATAGGGGGTCTGGCATCAGGTAAGTATATTGAAGAGTTTGAGAACTGAGAAAAAAAGAG